TGATTAAGCTTTGTTCATAAGTATATTCTAGAACATTCCATGCCAATGTATCAATGCACGTAAATACAACAACCATTCCCATACCGTGGGAAATCATTCTTCACAATAACCGCCTCCACCTCATCCCCGGGATAACTGGTATTATGGATATGGTGAGGGGAACCGGGAGGCTGGGTTGCATTCGCGTTTATGTTGATGGCGTGCTTATAATTGCTGAATAAAGGTTTAATTACCCAAGTTTGAGGTTTAATCACCCAAGTTGAGTGGAAACAATTCAAGAAGAATTTCAAGAACTCCTAGTTATTATCGCGGACAAGAAAGAATCTGCGACAGATGACAACTGAGCAGTTATTTGAATTCGTAGATGAGAAGTAATCTCCTAGGACATTCGAAAAATGTTTAGTTGAACAACAAGTCTAACTGTGCACCACATTTACTGAAAAAAGGATGTTAGTGTCAATTTTAGTTCATGTGAAAAGAATTAACTTCTATCGAAGACATTAAGCTTTATCCACTTTGTAAGAAGTTTTCATGTTAATAGTTACGGATTAATCCTTTCTTATACATAAGTGTTACGTGGAGATAAAGCAAATAAATCGACAAGGAGTGAATTTCGTAAAAATATTAGAGCGAATAACCCATAACTTTTTTTTCCGGAGTTAGTAATGCCTAATATAACATCTCATCATTTCACAAGAAATGAAAGCTTTACTCGTAAGTCCTGCCCCAAGGAATCCGCAAACAGTCATCAATAGTTTCATTTTCTTCCTCCTCACCAAACATTTCGACAAGCTCATCGTCGAGTACATCTTCTACAGCTAACTGAGCCGTAGCCTTCACAACCTCTTTATCCAATGTTTTCTCGTCATGTTCGATGATCTTCTGACAAAGTTGCATGTTTCTTAGAATATTTTTCAGCGTGAAATGCTTGTCCAGCAATGAATGCGTGTAGTCAAATGGTCCTAACCGTGTTCGTAGCAACTGACGACACGATGCCACAGAACCTTAACTGATATCTTTGTTAGGAAATCTTTTTTCCCCTAAACTCTACTGACTAAAGTGAAAAAAAAATTGAAAATACCAGCCACCCACTAGCGACCACACCTAGACATATTTGATTTGGTATTTGGGATTAAGGAAAATTTTTAAAAAATCCTTAATTTTTAGGCGATTTTAGTTTTCTTAATAATTCTTAATCCTTAATTTTTAGGCGATTTTAGTGAAAATTTGATAAGGTTTTTGCTATTATTGATCAATATATTGTCGATCTGAGATATTAATTGCTGTCGAAAATCGACCTATATATTCCCATGACAATGCAGAAATGATTATTTTTAAGCATTACTAACATATATCTTTCAAACATAAAGCAAGCAGAAGAGATAGCGCTGCACATTGCTTAGCGAAATCCGAGAAGCCTTTACGAATATGAGCTGCTGATGCGGAGTCATACTGAATGGGTAGTTGGGTCATCACTAATAGGTACTCTGCATTTGATAATCACAATTTGTGATAGCTGAAAGCCTTTCAGTGACCTCAAATCACCTAATCTGATCAGTTGAACTTAATCGGCAAAAATACCAAAAACAAGCTCACCTAGAGACAATGCAACTTCATTAATGAAATCTTGTAAAAAACCGTCGTCCTTGCAAACACAATGCAAATTGATCGTAAAATGCGGCAAATGGAAACGTACCAGTTTGATAAAATATATTACAGGAGTCCCAAGTACTTTAGGCCTAGGCAAACCCTGAAAAGATATCCAAGAAAACGAAAGAAATGTATCATAACAGAAGCCAAAAAGAGAATGAACTTGGAGCACTTTGTTTTTTGTAAAATTACGCAAACTTGGAGCACTTTGTTTTTTGTAACGGTAAATTTACTGAAAAATTATTACCTTTCGAGCTAGCTCAAATGCTTCCTGGCTTGCTAAATCCACGTTCGCTAGCTCAAATGCTAACTTTTTGTAATGAGCTTGTAATCGCATTAGAAATCTTGACATATGTCGATAAGTAATGTGCTCTAAAACAGGTTTAAATTGGAGATAAATATTTGTCCATTTAATTCAACAGAAGCAGTGGTTTTCCTGAATTACTAAAAGTGCCTAAGTTCCAGATTGTATAATCATTCATTACGACGGTCAATATGTGGCTTGTCTTTCCATCTGCGCGCTGCTCTGTTGGTAGAAACTTTCAAACCAGTATACGCCTTCCTAGCATGCTTGAAGCTTTTAAAGAATATTTCTCGCGTCCCGAAAAACAATTTAAATCAAAAGATCTTACCATAGTCGCATTCCCGGTTTACTTTCCCTCGAATCTTATTTTGAACTGTTCCCCGACCTAGCTGACCTTTCAAAACATATTCGTTCACCCAAACACGATCACGTAAGCTTTCCAACATATCGCAGCCATCATTAATTCCCAGTACTGCAAAGATCATTAATTCCTAGTACTAGCTAAGAATAAAAGAATGAGTTAAGTCACGATGGTTCGTCTTATAATATCAAATAAGACAGTAAAAGAAATTTCAATTTTTCCCTTAATCGCAATCTTTAGCGTATTTAACCTGAAAATTTAAGCTATATGTATACATGGAGATTGCTATTCAAAATTTCAAGAAGAGGAAATTCACAATAATTTATTAAGAATGTAAAAGAAACAAAATTTTACGGCATAGACCGGAACTTGCAGGTTGTTGATAATCTAGCTCTTCAACTCGAATATCTTCTTTCCGAAACGGTTGTCCAACAACAAGAGGATGAAAGCTGGAATACTATTGAAAACATAATATACAACTCACAATTTTAAAAAATTCAAATGATAATATCGAAAATGGAAGATTTCAATGAAAGAAACACATTTCATTGTTATTCATACAAGTATTGCTGTTTAATAAGCTAAAAAAGCCGATAATATTATTAAAACAAAATAAAAGTTATAATTATGCGTTGTAAAATGAATATGTCTTGGATGTATTAATGTGCAAATTGTTCTACTTCTATTAGATTTCAATTCCTAATATTCCGTTAGTATTACTATCATTTGGGGAAACTTTGCAATGCATATGATATTGTAATTGAATTAGGATCTTGACACTTCAAAGTGTATCTGCGACGAATGACTCATAATGCAAGCAAAATTCTTTATGATAATGTATTAATGATGAGAATGACTAAAGTTAAAGTTAAATTATACAGTATAATTAGTTAACACAGTTTTAATGAATACCCGCCGTACATATAGGAACATTTAATAACTGCATCATCGACTGAGTACATTAACAGCATCGAGAGCGGAAATATTTGCTCACTAACTCATAATTTGGCTGCTTTCGTAAGCCAACAATGACAGGTGCTTGTGATATTGGATGGGGTTCAACAATAGGCATTTCGATTTCTGGTATTTCTATTGGTAAGCAGCGTTTATTAGCATTTCCACAAACTGCGTTAATGAGGTATCGTTTCAATGAAGTGAGCGAAATATCACGAGGTTTGTGCACGCATATAATCCCGTGAAAAGATTTCCACATATCAGATGCTGTTATAGATCTCCGCATCCCACCAGCAAGAAATTACAGGTCGATCCTGTAAATATCTAAACTGGAACTTTCCACTTTTTCGACGGCCCTTTCGACAAGTACAAACCTCATTAACATATGAAACACAAAAGGTATGTCTCGGGAAAACCAAAATAAACCGAGGAACACACAAAGCACTGCGAAATTATTGAAATGAAAGGAGTAGTCCGAGTATACTAAGGGAACTGCAAGCAATTTTTGCAAAAAACACTTTGCCGCAAATCCTACCATCTACAGCAGTACCAACGCAAAGTATTCCGGAAAAATAGTATAATGTCCAACTCTTACAGCTACTGGTAATTCGGATTTTTCCATTTCTACAAACACCGAAACCGCGAAATTCCTGTTCATTCAGGCTAGAAGACGTAACTTTCAGAATTCAATGTACTAATGAACCAAAGCTAAGAAACTGGATGTAAAAGAAGTTTCAAACAACATAAGTATTTTAATCATAAATTGAACAATACAATTAAATCACACAAATTCCAACAAAATTGTTTTAAGCAGCCCTTTTCTGGGCGAGTCGACGATCTCTTTCTTCGGCAATAGTCAAACGGACACCCTTCGTCGGTCCCGGTAAACTCACCATAGATTTCGTCCCTTTGCCAATGATAAATACGTTATTTAACCTAAAAAATAACTGGATATACGATAGTTATCCATTGAAACAACGGTTAGAATACACAAAGTAATATCTTATCTACAACATCGCTATAACAGAGAAACCACAAATACTAAATCGAATAATATATTTTCTTGATAAAACTGGCGACACATTACGAGAAACCAAAATCATAAAAATCGTAAAAAGTTATCGTTGCAACCAAAGAATATCCTTACCAAGGAATATTGTTTGCAAGAATACGAAAAAACTGACCTGGACCGGTGGTTATGCCAACCAGGCCCCGGCCTTCTTTATTCATCACTATGAAGAAGTATGTTGTGCCTCGCAAACAAAATGCATCTTGACCTCACCGAATTTTAGAAATTCCATTTTTTCAAAACCTCAAATTTATCTTAGCTTTTTCATTCAAAAGACGTAAATAATTTGCTCGGGATTCTCCTTCTATACTTACCGAGTAGCAAATGAATGTCCAGCAGCATCTTTAATGTGCACAATGTCAAATGAGCCTGGATGCTTCTCACGATGTCCAACAATGCCTACACGACCCATGTTACGTCCTCCTGTTACCATACACAAATTACCCTGGTCGAATTTAACGTAGTCACTCATTTTACCAGTTGCAATATCCACCATTATCGTGTCATTTACCTGAAATTTCAAAAAGTCAAGCAAAACGTCTTAGAAAAAAATTGCAGAAAAAAAAATGCAAATCCTGATCAACAGCAACTCCAAGCAATAATAAGAGGTGGAAGAAATACCAAGAAATACCACTGGTAAAGATCCCTAAGATAATAACATTTTAGGGAACTGACAAAAGTACAGTCCACAATCCTACAGTATGAAAGGTTAATGAAACCTTCGACTCCTAAAATGAATATGAGATAATATTCCGCTGTTCAACAAATACAAATAATTTATTTGCAGAACGTGATTACTAAGAGGATACTGCTAGTGTTACGGCCATCCTTTCAAACAATAAAATTGGAGAGCCAACCTTAACGTGAGGATCAGGATAACGAATAGTTCGCGCATCGTGAGTAACAATAAAAGGAACGCCTTTTGGTCCAACACATTTTTTCACTATTTTGCATAGCTTGAAATTTCCTTCTTGTTCTGTGATACGGTGGGTAGCATAACGTCCTTTTGCATCATATAACAGGCGAAATGTTTCGTTTGTCCTGTCGATCCTGATTACATCTAAAAGTATCAAAAACAGGATAAATCAGTGCTTTTAATCAAGCACGTGAAAAAGTTAGACAATACCGTGTTACCGAATAAAATAAATAATTGACATTTATTTCAACCTTAAAATAAGAACCTACAGTGATAATGAGTTGTCGCAAAAAAAAAAGTAACGAAGACAAATACTAGGATAAATATATACCCATAAATCCGGCAGGGAAGCGCATATCTGTTCGCACCTTGCCATCAACTTTGATCAGACGCTGTTTGCAAATCATGCGCGCCTCATTATATGTTAGTGCGTATTTCAGTCGATTACGTAAAAACAATATCAGTGGTAGCGATTCACGCAACTTATGTGGTCCACACCGTGGTCTCGGGGCAAAAACACCTGCAAAGATTCATATCAGTGATAAGACTAATTCTCCATAGATTCTGCCATCAGTTTCTGCTGTGTATCTTTCTCGCAATAAAAGTGAAACCTTATGCGACTTTCTTTCCATCACAGCACAAATACCATTCTTTCACATTTAATTCATAAGCATATTCGAAGACAAAACGAGGTGCAATATCGAGGGCAGCAATTTCAGAAAGTGCCGCGAAATATTTATCATGCTTGTATCAAACGGTAATTCCATCAACTTCATCACTAACTGCTGCATTTCAATTTTTTTCCTTTCCTCACTACAGAAGTGAACCTGATTGGTCCATCCTTCAATCAGAGAGACTGGCAACCGGCCATCAACACTTTTGACATCTCACCGAACCATAGCTACGAATCATTTCATCACACTCAGAAAGTATCACCTCCGGAAATCTTTAGATAAGATTTTGTACTAAAGGACGCCTGAATAACTCTCTTCACATTATCATTGGAAGCAACAATTTGCTGCTTACATTACCAACATTATTAGTTCACTAGAGACAATAATGAATATCGACGGTGAACTCTTTCGGCAGTGGTAGAAATATAAAATCTAGATCGATCATAGGAAAATGGCTCGACGTTCACACTATTTAACATTAACTACAACCTGAACTGCGATTTCTTTTTTATCAAAGTTTAATAAGAAAAGCATGAAATCCGCGAGAGGAGTTTTCTACCGGGAATGTCACATCATTTATGATGAAGTGAAAAAAAAAACAATTCCAGAAAATATCTGCTGGATCGAAAGAAATATCATACCTCCAAGTTTGTCCAACATCCAATGTTTCGGCGCTGCAAGGCGCTTTAAATGTCGCTTCGGTCCACGAGCCATACTTTACTGTTTCCCGATGTAAACCCTTAAACCCATACGCTTTCAAATATAAAAAATTAACCAGAAGATCGATAAGGCAAATTCAGATCTAATCAAAGGTCCTCATGCACACTCCCGTACCGTAATGACCAACCAACTTACGAAACTGACCCCTACACAAAGCATTTGTGAGGCGTTAAGATGGTCGACTAACAAACCACCCACCTTAACACTCCAAAACACTTTCCCGACAACAGCGCCACAACACTTTAGGATCTTCAATACAGTATGCCACGAGTGATTTGGGAATTTGGCACAAAATAACAGCACTAAAGTCAGAGATAATTCAAGAAATTTTTTGAACAATGTAATTTCATTTTTTTCATACGGCGTAGTTTAATTTGGCAAAAACAATTTCACTAAATGATTCGTTTCTACGATCTTTGAAACTACTTAACAATGGCTGTGAAACGTATTGAAAAAATATGTGTCCGAAAAACATAATTAAGCTTAATTAATATAAAGTGTATGCCTATACAAAATGTAGTACAATGTCTATATTTAATGCTTACTAACCATATAAGCATAAAATGAGTCATGCTTAGATGAAGTATGAAGACTTGATTGGTATCTGTGATCAGAAGTTAAATCTCCCATTAATAAACATTTGCATACTGCCTGTAAGCTCATACAATCCACACTACTATTAAATATACATGTAATGAATATTGCGTATGCAAGAAATGATATTACAACATAACATCATTATTACTTTAATAACATTCATGCATGCATGCATTTCTTGCATAAACATATGGCAAGCGCTTTAAGTTAGAACAGAATATTGCCGGACATCATTTCAGCGCTTTTACGAGATCGCGAAAGGTTGATCTTTGAAGGGTCTGCTAAAATTGCAATCGTGTTTGGTAGATTAAGTAGGACTAATGGGGGGAAACTCACTAAGTGATAAGATCTAGTATAACGTGATTGACTTGAAGACAACGTACTTTCCCTTTTTTCCTCTCTTTTCTCATTCTTACTTATCTTTTGATAGAAGACGTGAAGACAACGTACCTTCCCTTTTTTCCTCTCTTTTTTCATCCTTACTTATTTTTTGATAGAAGGACGTATTTATGAGTTGGAAACATTTTTATTTGCAGTATATTACTGGATCCAGTATCCTCCAGATTGCTTTTTATCTGCAAAATGCTCGAGTCAGTAAAAATTTTCAATTTATTTTCTAATTGTTGTAATTTTTAAACTATCTCTCCTATCACTAATAGGCCAAAAACTTGTGTAATTCAGATTTCTCCTCGACTTCTCCTCATCCGGAAGACTAATTCCGGAAGGTTTCAAAGCGTCTATCGTGAAATGTCTTAACTCTTTTTGATTCCACTGATATAAGTTTTGCACTTTGCAGTATTTGAGATTTCTTCTAGAACGAATTTAAAATTATATTTTTTATATGCTCTTTAGAAATTTGATCCTCATTTTTTAACAACTTTACCGGAATAAATTGCAGGATAGTAAAGGACACAAAACAAACTGCCACCATCATTATAATCGGTCTTTTAATGATGATGACGGTAAGCATAAGAATTCATTCCGAAATAATTTTGTTTTCACTAATTATTCAAATTTATCTTTAATTGCAATTTCAACCGCTAACTGATTTACTTCAGTTTTTCTGCTACTCTTGCAACAGATGTGGATTATATTTAATTTAATTTGTATTAGAGAATTTCAGGTTGCCCAAGCGCAAGCCGATGGGAAGTCCGGAGTTTCGAATGATACTAAACAGAACAACACCGAAATCAAAATCCTAAAAACCACAGAAGGAATCAGTAAATCTGTAGATTCGACAATTGCCGACATCGAAAGCATCCAAAAAAGTACAAAAAAGACTAGTGAATCTGTTGATCCTGCGACTACTACCATTGAAACAGGGCTCCTGATGCCCAATGCTCTCCAGAAGTTTCTAAGGCACAAAGTTTATCAGCAGTTCCTGGAGGGTTTCCATAGAAGATTTAAAACTGCAAAAAGTATGAAGACTTGATTGGTATCTGTGATACAGGAAATAAAATCTCCCATTAATAAACATTTGCACACTATCTGCAAGCATATACAACCCACATTATTATTAAGTACGCATATAATGAATATTGCATATGCAAGAAATGATATTATAATATAACACCATCATTACTTTAATAACATACAGCATGCATGCATTTCTTGCATAAACATACGGCAAGCGCTTTAAGTTAGAACAGAATATTGCCTGACATCATTTCAGCACTTTTACGAGATCGCGAAAGGTTGATCTTTGAAGGGTCTGCTAAAATTGCAATCGTGTTTGGTAGATTAAGTAGGACTAATAGGGGGAAACTCACTAAGTGATAAGATCTAGTATAACGTGATTGACGTGAAGACAACGTACCTTCCCTTTTTTCCTCTCTTTTTTCATCCTTACTTATTTTTTGATAGAAGGACGTATTTATGAGTTGGAAACATTTTTATTTGCAGTATATTACTGGATCCAGTATCCTCCAGATTGCTTTTTATCTGCAAAATGCTCGAGTCAGTAAAAATTTTCAATTTATTTTCTAACTGTTGTAATTTTTAAACTATCTCTCCTATCACTAATAGGCCAAAAACTTGTGTAATTCAGATTTCTCCTCGACTTCTCCTCATCCGGAAAACTAATTCCGGAAGGTCTTAAAGCGTCTACCGTGAAATGTTTTAACTCTTTTTGATTCCACTGATATAAGTTTTGCACTTTGCAGTATTTGAGATTTCTTCTAAAACGAATTTAAAATTATATTTTTTATAAGTTCTCTCTTTGATGTTAGAAGAATAATTCGAGTAAATAGTAAAGATTTTATGCAAATTGATTGTTTACTTTTTATGGGTAAATAACAATTCATACCTCATTGCTTATTTCTTATCTGTCAAGGAGTGGTTGTACTCCTTTATAAATGCCAAAGAAGGACGAAGAAGAGGTGAGGGTCACTTTGCTATCTCCTTCTTATTTTGGTGATAGTAAAGTCTCCTCGTAATACTTTGCTACCTGAATTAAGCAACTCAAATAACTTTACTTTCAATCTCCTTCATAAATCATGAATATCCAACAATAATTTAGTTTAATATCAAATGAATTCATCTGAAATTTGAAATCTTTGAATAAAAGTTTGTTTCTAATCATCGAAACTTTTTTTTTTTATTAAATTGTCTTTCTTAACTTAGATACTTATGATAAATAAATAAAATTTTAAGTTTCATAACTTTTTACAAATGAATTTGACATTCTAATATTTGTTTACTACAGGGTGAGGACTCTGTATCAATAACTGATGATGTAAAAGGAGCTGATTATTATCATGGATTGATACCGCGTACCGATATCGAACCATTGTTGAAAAAAGAGGGCGACTTTTTGTTGCGTAAAACTGAGCTCACTCCTGGTATCTGTTTTATTTTCATTTAGCATAAAACTGCTCGATATATTTTACGATAAATATTTACTCTTCGATGAATGGAATTTAGTAGTAATATACTTATAGAAATTATGTGAATGAATTAAACAATTTCAAAATTTGGAAATTGACATTTCAATTTTTGTATGTTAACTGAACAGCAAAGCAGAAGTTTTTATTAATTGATGCTGATATATATCAGTTTTGAGCATTATATAAAACAGCTACGTTATTTGGAAGCTAAATGGCTATGAAAGGTGAGAAGCACGGAACTTTTCACTTTTCAGGTGAGATAGTGCTTGCGATCTCGGTACGACACAACAATGCCGTACGACATTTCATGGTGAATCAAGACCAAGATGGTTCATTTTATTGCGAGCATCACCATGAAAAAAGCGTATCTGATCTTATTCAATACTACAAAACGACGAAGGAACCACTATCTGCTTCCAGCCAAGCACGTCTTCGTCGGCCCATCGAGCGACCGCAATGGCTTCTGAATCATGACTCCATTAGACTTGTCAAAAAACTCGGAGAAGGTGCATTTGGTGAGGTGAGCTGGGGTAATTAGTGTTATGGCTCACAATTAAGTAAAAGTTAATTAAGGTCAGCAATTGTCAATACAAGTAGTACATGCAAACTGTGAAATTGACACTTCAAGGTATTCCTTGCGGAATATGCGTTTGGAACGGAAAAACAAGAAGTGGCAGTGAAAACGATGCGTCAGGAAGCAACACGTGAAGCTCGATTGAAATTTATGAAGGAAGCGAGACTGATGCGTCGCTATGAACACAAGCACGTAGTTCGAATTCTTGGAGTAGCTGTACACGAGCATCCACTAATGATTATTATGGAAAATTGTCCTGGTTTGTTTTTCTATCCATCCTTAAGGTCATTTAAAGTAAATTACCATTCATCCATTCAACGATATACACAGCAAATTTTAGGTCATATGTCAAGCTTATTTTATGATTCTTCATTAAAATATGATACATATATTGGTTAGGTAAATAGTGTTTGTTTCATATTCACTGATAGCAGAAATACAGCACAGTAATTAGGATATGTATAGTTTATATTAGGTGGATCTTTACTATCGTATTTACGAAAAGAGAAGGGAAAGGTAACATCAGCCATGAAGCTACGTTTTACGATCGAAGCAGCGGATGGGATGGCTTATTTACACAAACAGAAATGCATCCATCGTGATATTGCTGCACGTAATGTTTTGCTAAGTGGCAAACTTGACGTGAAAATTAGCGATTTTGGCATGTCTGATGATCGACTTATCGTACAAGATGAAAAATTGGAAAAGGTAATGAACGGGAAATTGTCCCACGTGCTCTTTCCCGGTATTGTATTGATTGTTTGTTGGAATGATGTTAAAAAAAAAAAAAAATCCTAAGCAGGCTTTGTAAGCAAAAAAAGTATTAAGTTAATTTTATTAGGATATATGAGAGAATAAATGAATAAGAAAGAAATAAAGTAAGCCTGAACAATTGAAGGCCAAGTATAGCCAAGCAAACAGGTACTGGATAAACTAGACAGGTAAAGCAATAAAGCGAAACACTTCCAAGTTTAATGGGCATACCGGTCTTTTTTCAGGTCAAAGTGAGCCGATATCTTGACTCAACTTGACCTTTTACCTCAAGCATCCATCTTTACCAAGCATATTTATTGATCCGTCTCAGCACTTTTCTGTCCAGAGGATTGTAACGATTTTATTCAGGGAATACAACGTTAACACACATGGAACTTTGAACTTAAACTTCAAGCAAACTGAGAAAACATTATCGCATTCGTCAAAATAACGTAATCCAGCATTACTAGTGTAGATTAAGCGGAATAGTCTGACGTCAGTTACGGTACACCTCTATTGATCCGGTTACAGTTGTGTTGCAAGAAGGGAACTGGCAATTAAGATTTGATAAATAATGGATGCTTACAAAATTGGATTGTTAAAATGAATTTTACAGCTTATTCTTGATTTTTAACAATTTTTTGTGGAAGAAAAGAAAAGAATTTGACGAATGTAAAATAGGTACCGGTCAAATGGTTGGCACCAGAAACGATGCAACAAAAAGTTTACTCGAATAAAACTGATGTCTGGTCCTATGGTGTACTTGTCTGGGAAATTTATTCTGATGGTTCGGAGCCTTATCCAGGATTGAGTAATATTCAAACACGTGCAAAAATTGTCGTGCAAAATTATCGGATGGAAATGCCCAAGGTATAATTTCCCGCTAAGACAAGAATTCATATGGACTATTGTGCGCTCATTCCTCATATCTCTTATTGTGTACATTGCAGGAAGCGCCATCTGGAGTGACCAAATTAGTCCAACAGTGTTGGGCTAAAAATCCTGAAGAACGACCAGAATTTAGCAAAATATTCAAGACTCTAAAAAGTATGAAGACTTGATTGGTATCTGTGATACAGGAAATAAAATCTCCCATTAATAAACATTTGTACACTGTCTGTAAGCGCATATAATCCACATCACTACTAAATGTACATATAATGAATATTGCATATGCAAGAAATGATATTATAACATAACATCATTATTACTTTAATAACATGCATGCATGCATGCATTTCTTGCATAAACATATGGCAAGCGCTTTAAGTTAGAACAGAATATTGCCGCACATCATTTCAGCGCTTTTACTTGATCCCGAAAGGTTGATCTTTGAAGGGTCTGCTAAAATTGCAATCGTGTTTGGTAGATTAAGTAGGACTAATGGGGGGAAACTCACTAAGTGATAAGATCTAGTATAACGTGATTGACGTGAAGACAACGTACCTTCCCTTTTTTCCTCTTTTCTCATTCTTACTTATCTTTTGATAGAAGGACGTATTTATGAGTTGGAAACATTTTTATTTGCAGTATATTACTGGATCCAGTATCCTCCAGATTGCTTTTTATCTGCAAAATGCTCGAGTCAGTAAAAATTTTCAATTTATTTTCTAATTGTTGTAATTTTTAAACTATCTCTCCTATCACTAATAGGCCAAAAACTTGTGTAATTCAGATTTCTCCTCGACTTCTCCTCATCCGGAAAATTAATTCCGGAAGGTTTCAAAGCGTCTATCGTGAAATGTTTTAACTCTTTTTGATTCCACTGATATAAGTTTTGCACTTTGCAGTATTTGAGATTTCTTCTAGAACGAATTTAAAATTATATTTTTTATATGCTCTTTAGAAATTTGATCCTCATTTTTTAACAACTTTACCGGAATAAATTGCAGGATAGTAAAGGACACAAAACAAACTGCCACCATCATTATAATCGGTCTTTTAATGATGATGACGGTAAGCATAAGAATTCATTCCGAAATAATTTTGTTTTCACTAATTATTCAAATTTATCTTTAATTGCAATTTCAACCGCTAACTGATTTACTTCAGTTTTTCTGCTACTCTTGCAACAGATGTGGATTATATTTAATTTAATTTGTATTAGAGAATTTCAGGTTGCCCAAGCGCAAGTCGATGAGAAGTCCGGAGTTTCGAATGATACTAAACAAAATAGCACCGAAAGTACAACCCTGAAAACCACAAATGGAATCAGCAAATTTGAGAATTCGACGACCGCCAGTACCAAAGTCGTACCAGAAACTACAAAAGCGACGAACGAATCTGTAGATTCTGTAAATACCACTATTGTACCTGTGCAGAAGGAAGTTACGGAGAGAATAGTACCAAAAATATTCATTGGAGACGATGGCGACGTTGGACCACCAGGACCACCTGGATCGCGAGGACCTCAAGGTCCTCGAGGCGATCCTGGGCCACGCGGAATACAGGGACCTATGGGAGACCCCGGTCCTCCTGATGACCACTCTATAACAGTATCATATGGTGTGCTTTGTGTTATTTGTGCTTCACAAAAGAAGAGAAATAACAATTTTTCCTTCCAATAATTTCACCCTATTTTGTCTTTGAGGATTTTTTGATACCATCTAATGACTAAAAACCGGGGCACTGAATAATCTTAAATTATGACAACATTATCAAAAAAATCGTTTTCGAAATGTAATTTGATAAAAACTTCAGTATTTCAGGTTTACTCACACTAATGATGGTACCAATTTTTATAATCATTTATTTCGATTGACTTCCATTTATGTTATCTTCACGAACTGATTATTCATTTAAATCATTTGATTACTTATTAACTTTAAAATTATCAACTATTGGTGCTAAATATGTTGTGTATAAATATATTTCAGCATTCTTCGCCTTCATGCTCCAAATAAATTAGTGATAAAAATTGGTAATTAGACAATAATTTATGAAAATTTGGAAAAGTTTCTGAGCAGGAAAAAATTCGATTGTGTTGTACCGGAAGAGTTGACTGTTTGAACTGAATCAGTCTCCTTATCAGTAATCATTTCGTTTCGAATTATCTGTCTTTCATGATTGTTTAATATCCATTAAAAGAAATCCCAAATTACTGAACTGATACATTCAAAGCCAGAATTTTTTAGGTTAATATTACTAATCAATATGGTCAATATACTAATTAATCATTATGAGTAAGGTTGGCAATTTCTGAAAAAGATGTTTTATAGAGTTTGAATTGATAAATTTGACGATGAATCGTCCCAGACAATCAAAGATAACTAAAGCTCGTAGATAACTAATCTACTCTGATAAGAAGGTAAAATAGTTTGAGCAAAGGTTAAAAAGACAAGTTGAAATAGTCAAGAATTTGAATAATGTGCAATGTACAAAAGTCAAGCACTCTTTACAATTTATTTTATCTTTTTATTTATGAATGAATAATGTTTAATGACAAAAAGCGATCGAAATAGGAATAAAGTGATAAAAATTCTTCAAATTTCTCTTTTCTTTCACTTTCATCAACTTATTATGTTTGGTCCCTGAAATTTTTTTTAAAAAAGATATTTGATATAATTTTTTTGTGTATCTTGCAAAATTAGCGATAAATGGAAAGATTGTTAACCATGCAGATGCATGTTCATGCATGTTTCGGAAAGATTGTTAACCATGCAGATGCATGTTTCGGAAAGATTGTTAACCATGCAGATGCATGTTCATGCATGTTTCGGAAAGATTGTTAACCATGCAGATGCATGTTCATGCATGTTTCGGAAAGATTGTTAACCATGCAGATGCATGTTCGATATCACTTATAACACTAATGAAGTAGCAATAAATATTTTCCAATGCGACAATTAGGAGGGAGTAGAAAAAGTTTTTTTGCATTTTTTACACTGTAATCTTGTAGAAAATCAAAGAAGTCCTTCTTTTTTTTTTTTTTGTAAAATGAGATCGAAGATTTCCTTGAATTGTTATCATTATTACCCATACATGAATTATAAAGATCAGTAAAAGTATGAATAACTGAGATCAGTTTACCTTATCAACATTGCCTTTTGGACCTCGAGGTCCTTTCTCACCAGGTTTTCCCGTTATTCCTGGAGGACCTTTGGGGCCAACACGACCTTGTTGACCTGGTGGTCCAGGATCGCCTGGTGGACCTTTAGGACCCTTCATATATGTAACGGCACATGAAACCTTAAAAATGGGCGGATTCATTTTCACATTTAATATTCATCAAAATGAATTACTGAGCATACAAATGAGTGTTAAAGCAAGAATCCCATTTTCGCTGTTAAATTGAAAAACTTTTTGATAATTAATTTTCAACTTTTTTTGACTAAATAAAAACTTATTTATTTATAATAAAAGCTATTTCGTTATGGCTATGTTTAAAAAAAAAAGAAAAAAAAACCAGTGAAAATCTTTCAAACCAATTTGAAATGATAATTAATTATTAGGTGGAAACTTGTCTTACTAGCTTTTCACCTAATTAGATATGGTTACGTCGTTATTTCAGACAACTTTTTTCATAGTAATTATTGAAGGACAAATTAAAGTCATTTTTTATTAGCGAGAAAATTCTCTAACTTACAGCGAGCAGATAAATGACAAGGAAATAGAAGACAGCAATATTTTTCATTTTCTTCTTTTTTTTTTTTTTTTGCCTGAAACTAAGACATTTTAATCAAATGTAAGTAGTAGTTTTAATCCAAATGTTGAAATCGATTATGGAACAGAGTACCTCTATCATTTGAATAGCAAAATATAGTAATTATAATGAAGTGATATAACAGAACGATCACAAAAGCCTGATAATATTTGCTATCAGCGGTAGTTTTTTGATCCTTTCAAAAGAAAAACGGGGATCTTATCTATAATCATATCATCTAGCATCAAATATTCCGTCAATCACATCCTGAAGCATATCATCTCTCGAATTTATTCTAGCCAAAATGCATTCCCAAATGACGCTAATAATGAACATCACTGAAATATGACAAAACCAACCACTTAGTTGTACCAATTCAACCCCATTAATTAAAATTTAATACATGATATTCGTCTTTAAATTAATGTCAAAGATTGGAGATTTTGCATATTTTTCATTTTCCTTTTGTTTACAACACGTTGACATGAAGGAATGAATTTTTCAACGCTCAAATCTATTCAAACATATCGTTTTGCTTTTTTTTTTTTCCAAGCTTTTTATAATTGAAAATTATATATATATGTGTATGATTCGATGAAAATGTTTTCGTCCATTCCTCGTTTCTTTCTCTCAAATTTGTTAATATTTTTTTTTGCAAATAATTCTCTTTATGTTTACATTTACTTTGCTTCACTACTTTTGCAGTTCTGAATTGATTCTATTTTATTGAGTAGAGTTAAGTTTCACTTCATATCTCACCCATTTCAATTTCCGGATGCTTTTAGCACTATATCTGTAAATATCAACCATAGTGGAAAACGCTTCATGGAAAGGAAAAAACTTATAGATAAAAAAAAAAAAGAAAAAAAAGAAAACTTGAATTTCATTATAGATAATAATTTGAATCAAATAAATTCAATTCAATTAAGATTCAATCTTTCATTTAATTCTTTATTATTTCTCTACTTCTGTGTCAACTTTTAGCATTTGGCTATAAATTCCTTTGATGAAATTATAACTCTACTAGTATTCGAGGTTTTTTAACCAAAATTCAACAACAAAATAATATTTATGATTTTATATCAGTCTAATTATTGGGACATAAATACTCTATAAAATATCATCTCCTCCTCTTTGCTACAGATCATCTTCATCCGTCAAAATCCGATTTATCATATTTTACCTTCATCTTCCCATCCATACATATTATATCAGCAATAACATTTTTATTTAATGATATTGGATGTTGCTGCGGGCAACGACGATGTGAGAGAAATTTCTCAGGAAATGAACTTTTGTTTTCAAAGTTTGTCACATCAAAGACAACCTTTTTCATCCTTTCCATTTCACTTGCTGTCATCTAACACTTCCCTCAACAATTTCATTCAATCCATTTTTTTTTTCACAAATAGCGATAGGTTTTTTCTCAATATTTCTCCCTTTCTTTCTCTCTGGTTTTCACATTCCGATTATCCCAATCATATAAAAGCGAACGATCATCATTGCTCAATGATTGACCAGTAGCATTATTTACAAGTGTCCAATGCAATATACGGCTTACCATAATTCCAACGATCATTGTCGCAAAACTTGTATGATACAACGTAGGATCAATAAGTTTGATGAAATCGTAGGGAAAGGAAGTGACCTTTATGAGAAAAGTAATTAGAAGAAAAAATTAAAGTAAGATAAGTTTGGTATTACAATGAAATGATTGAAGCATAGCTTAAATCATTCATCCATAAAACAACTCTTCAGTCCTATTTTTTTCTTTCCAAAGTACGAACTCATTTCTGTCACAATGCAAGTATCCGTTATAGATAATAATTTGAATTATTAGAATGATAGAGAAAGTTCATTCTCTACTCAATTATATCAGAGATTTTTCGTTCATCTAATGAAAGACCGTTTGTAAAACTTGACCAATGTATTTGTGATAATTGATTTGATAACAAAAAGAATGAAAGGAATAGGAAGAGAGAAGTAGTGTTAAATCTCTCTTATCATTAGATGATCGGGAAAAAATGGAGAAAAATGTGAAATTATCGCAGCAATTCGCAAATTTTGTTTTCACAATTTTTTGCTTTTTTTTTTTTTTTGAATCGAAATTTGCGGAAATTGCCCCATCACTCTTTTAAAAAATAATATTTTTTTCCATTTCTTCGTAAATCTGTTGAGTGGCAGTTGTTGAAAGAGTTTTTGTTATGCGAAATTTCTCCTGCTTTTTTCTCTAATTTTGATTCAGTTCGCTCCTTTGATTTTTTTTCTTAGTTTTTGTTAATGTATTTATTTGTAAAATTGTTTAATGGGCATTAATGTCATTAAAAAAATGACCAAAGAAGATCTTCAGCCATGATTTAGATTTTATTTTTAAATCCATTTTAATCATAAGCTTTCTACTCTGTTTGATTTTTCGTTCATTGCTAATGGAATCTGCTTCTTTTTTTAAAATGATCGTCACAATTCTAGAAATTTTAACCATGACTTTTCGGACTTATTTTTTTGTTATGATTTTTTCATTAGTGGTGACCATCGTTTGACAACTAATGATAGCTCTAAATATGACTTCTCATTGTCATAGCTTCTAATTGACATTTCAAGGTATTGCATAGTTCTTATATCCGTATAACGTTTTGGCACTAAGCAGGAAAGCCATAATTTAAAAAAGTGAAAGTTCGTAAATCAACAAGCTCTAATTCTTATGGTTGACTTGGAAACTTTGAAATGCTTTGGTTCAGATTTCAATTCTTTACTTTTTCTTTTGAAACTTTAATTTCAGATTTTCTGATGTTGTAATAGCTTATCTTTCTAGTAATACCAGGTGTACTAAAATGATGGAGCTATGTTAGCCTAAGCATTGATATATTTGTAGAGCAGCAACGAAAATCTCATTGGATCCATTAACAATAAACTCGTTCGTCTGCAAAAATTATAAATTTTAAATTGCAAAGTGTCTGGTACCTAATGATAATGGTATGCATGAGCTAACTGACTAGGCTCATGATAACTATGATTGAATGGATAGATAGTAGATCAGGTTATCATGGTTCAAAAGCCAGAAAAGAAAATAATATCTCTTAGGTGCTATTACTGTATTACAAGTTTGGCCAAGTAATATTGATTAGATTTATAATTTTCCAAACATAATATGGTATTTTGCAAATTGCCCTTATCTTCCTCAAATATTTCAATTTAAGAAAATGGAAAATTGATGGGTTGATAGGTGTCAAATGGGAAGTTTTATAAGAAAGCAGACGTACTGGATAGTTAATAAAAAAAGAGTTTTAGTTAAGCAAAAATATTTACAAACTGATAGTTCACATTAAATTGCGAAAGCGATCCATGGCAGACTATTGATTGTGAATGATTCATTTCTGCAGCATATCTTTATTGGAAAGGTCACTGTGACTAACCTATCGTTAGAATGAAAATTCATAAGCATGGATCTGATCTGGATCTGATCATGGATCTGGTAGCTTATCTTGTGCAATACTGTCCTTCGTATATACGATAATTAAAAGTCGTATATACGAGTTTAATTTCTTCACTGATACATTTTACCACTGAATAGACAGATATTTCAGTTGATCCAAGAAAGAAAAGTTAGCCGAGAGGAGGGATAGACAATATGCGTTTCCTGTCCATTGCAATAAATTTATTTTTCCTTCCAAAAATTTAATTTTTTTTCTTTTTTTTGTTCCAAGTTGACTAATTTCTGCAGTTTTCTCTTCTTCTTCCTTTCTTCCTTTCTCTCTCCGGTCTCTCTGTTTCTCTCCCTCTCCTTTCCTATCCCATTTAAGCGTGTATTCCTTCACTCCCTGCTAGTGTCTTTGACAGGGTTGTTACAACAGAACAATTAATGAAGTCCACGTAAGGACGATGTTCTGAGTAAAATTGGATTGAATTGTAACCTGGAAGGAAC